TGCAACTCAGTGGCAGAGCGCCCACCTAACAGGCAGAAGGTCCCAGACCCACAGGGAATAGGGATAGGGAATGGTGGGCCGACACACTGACACATCTCTACTGAGTGTCAATATGTCTACTGTTGAACTCCTATAAGAAAGGGAGGGTTGGCTGGGTGGCGGTGGATCTCTGTGAGTTCGAGGCCAGCCTGGTCTACAGAGCAAGATCCAGGACAGGCACCAAAACTACACAGAGAAACCCTGTCTCTAAAAACAAAATAAATAAATAAAAATAAAATTAAAAAAGGGAGGATTGATATTCTAAGACTTGAAGAAGCACGGGCTAGCCTGGTGTGGTGGTGCAGTCCTATAATCCCAACATTGGGGAGGTAGAGGCAAAGGATCATCCTTGACTACATAGCAAGTCCATGACCAGTCTGGGCTACCTGAGACCCCAGCTCTGGAGCTGTAAAGAGGTACAAGGGGTGGAGAGTGGAAAGCTGAGAACCCCTGAGTCCTCTGTCTGACTCTTTCTATTCATGTGCTCAGAGGATCCTGATTTAGAGGTTTACACTGTTATCTGAAGTGGGGAGGCAGAGAGAAAAGAGTAGAAGTCAAGCCTCATTCTGTAAGCATCTCCAGTTGGGGGTTTGCCTGAGATTTATCCCAGTTTACTGAGTTTACCCCAGTACTAGTCTAGTCTGGGATTCTGGTTTAGGGTACTCATCCTAAAATCTTCCACAAAGAGAGAAATGTTCAGTCATGTTTGTGCATCGCAAAGTTAGGATTCTAGGGAGGAAGAGAACTCTTTCAGATGAAGTCAGTCCTCACAGCGTGGCTGAAGGATGGAGCTAATATACCCATTTGCTAGTCCAGAAAGCAAACCCTGAGACTAACTGACTTGTCTAGTGGTGTGCTTCAGAAAGTGGCATCAGGTGTGAAACTGAGGGCTGCTCAAGCCTCTTTCACATCATTTCACTTCAGGAGAGTCGAATTAAGGGTCAAGGGGTCACTCACAAGCGGCTGCGTAGAGATGGGGAGAGAAGGAGAACCAACTGTGACCGGGTACAAGGTGGGGTGTCTGGGGTGTGGCTTAGAGCAAGGGTGGATTCTGTTTTCAGTTGGGAAATTTGTTCTCAAGCCCAATGTCTACTAAAGTGCCCCCCAACACTGAGTGAGCCCTCAAAAGCAGAGAGGAGACAGGAGGTGGAGGCAGGATGAAATGAGAGCATTGAAGTTGCGGAAGGGGATGGGTACTACTCCATGATGCTCAGGACTGAGCCTGGTTTACACAGTGTGTATCTATACAGATGGCCTCTCCTATCCAAATGGGGATCTGGCTATGTTGCTGCTTTGCATCCCGGATCTGAGCAAGGGTTCTTCTCCTTCTGTTCCCCCTGTTCCCCAGAGTACTGGTGACTCAGCTACTCCTCTCCTCTGGCTGTAGCTTAAGGGGGTTGGGGGTTGCTGAGAGCAGAGACTATTTTGGCTTCTCTGACCTTCAAAAGCAGTCCTTGGCAGCCTGGAGCAAGGGTGGGGCTGGGGCTGGCCAGTGAGTGGGAGGAAGGAGATGACCACACCCAGGGAGGGTTAATGAGGAGAGGCCAGGGATGTAAGAGTATGAACATCACAGGGCAAAATGAGTGTTGGCTCCAGCTCTCCGGATCTTCCCTTCGAATCCTGGAGCACTTAGCTGAGTCCGAGGCAGAGGTTGAGATAAGGGCACAAGGTCAACATAAGAAGGTTCAAGATCAAGACAGACAGACAGAGCAAAGCGACAAGGAGGAGTCCAGACCCAAACACCCTACAGATCATTTCTAACTGAAAGAGTAGTTTATATTAGACTGGTCTATAGCAAGAAAGCTCTGCCTGAGCCCGGACTCCGGGCGATGATCCTAGGTCCTTCCCTGAAAGGCAGAAGCCTCCCTTACCCTTCAGAGACTGCCTCCTGACAGCCAGGACAGGGAAGCTGCTGCTTGTGTGGGCGCAGCCATGCTGCATTAGCACGGGCCTGCGTGCAGCTCCCAGGGTCCCTGTGCCCCACCCCAGTGGATTGGGGACTATGTCTGCTCCAGAATTTCACACTATCCTCCAATCTAAAATGAGACGCATTTTTGTCCTCCCCAGTTTTCTATTGATGTGGTCAGGACAGGGTCCAGCTCACCACATCACTCACCACCACCACACCGCTCCCCTCCATTCACGGCCCCCCAGCCTCTGTCTCCTGTTCTTGCAGTGACTGAAGGTCACTCTCTGGGTCCATCTGAGGGGAGAGGCAGCAGATGGTTTGTTTCTAAGGGGAAGGGGGAGGGCCCCTGCTACCCTTCCCTCCTATAGCTGGCTCGGTGCCCCAGTGCATGAGGCTTTGGTCCTTTGGTTGATGCTGAGAGGGTATTTATTAACTAAACAGGATTTGGGGAGAAGGTACTCAGAGCTGCAGGAGAGATGGGTCTGGCCCTCTGAACTGCTAGGCAACCCCTTAGATTCCTCCCCTTCCCCGTAGCCAAGCAGAAGCACCAGGATGCTGACATTGTGCAGGCCAAGAAACAGTTAAGTCTCCAGTACCTCGTCACAGACCAGCCCCTCTTCCCCGCCCTGGCACCGCCCTCCCCGGCAAGCAGCCCCCCCTCACTCCCACCCCTAGTGCTGCAGACTCTTCCCTGAAGCCACCCGGCTAAGGCCGGAGCCAGCCGCGCCGATGCCTCCATGAGGGGCTCCCTCCTACATCCCAGGGTAAGAGCCTAACAGGAAGGCAAATCATGGCAGAGGGATGGGGGTGCTGTCCTCGGGACTGGGGATGGGGAGCAGCTGATACCTTGTAAATCTGTGCATCTGGACCTAGGCTAGCCTGGTGGGAAGGCTGCCTGCCTGAGACGGAGAGAAGAGGTGAACATTACTGACGGGGATTCAGCCTGGATCCAGAGCCAGTGGCTCCAACAGGGGCTGTGACAGTCCACCTCTGTACTAGGTGGGGGTGGGGACCATCAGCTGAGAGGCAGTAACAGAGGGTGGTGCCACAGGCTTTGCCTGGCAGCCAGGGCATAGAAGGCATTTGGGGGCTATGTCTTTGAGGAGACACAGAAGACTCTGAGAGGAAGGGGGCTGTTATGGAATGTATCTTCTGGGAGGGTCCTTGGGTTATCAGCTACTACACTGGTCAGCCGCTCCTATTCTGGGATGAGTAGGGCAAGCAGGATGAGTTTTTGCCAAGTAAGGGAAGGTGGGTAGCGCTCTGGGAGAGAAAGGAGGAATGGGTCACTAAGACGTGGCATGTGCCTGCTCACAGGCTAACGGGTTTGTTTTTGCCTCCCCTCACCCTATTCCCTGTGGCCAGCTTGAGCTTAGGGCTCTAAGCCCCCCTTTGTGGCCTCTCCGAGGCCCGCTCAGGAGCTGGAGAGCACTGGCTCTCTCTCCTGCAGCTGCCCTGCATTCCGGGTCCTGTCAACCCCACGGGTTCCCCGTCTCGGCCCCACCCTCACCTCATCTGTGCTTTTCTTCCCAAGATGGGGGCTCTTCGACCGAGAAGCCAGTTCCTTCTCCCTCTCTGTGTGCACCCCCATCCCCACCCCCCACCCCCATGCAGAGGCAGCCAAGAAAATGACTTTGTCATGCTGGGGTGGGGGGTGGGGGCGGAGCTGGAGGCTGAGCTCAGCGCGCACACTCACACACACTCACACACTGCGGCAAAACTGCAGCTGCCTGCCGGAGCAACCCCCTTCCGCCTCGCCGCGGAGACACCTGCCCTCCTGCCCACTCAGCTTCACACCCGAAGCCCACCCCCGACCCTAGCACTGGTCACGGGAAGTGCCCCCAGCCTCTTAAGAGAGCCCTCTGCGAAGATAAAGGAAAAACAAGGCAGTTCCCTTCATCGGAAGAGCTGGGGAGCAGAAATAGAAACGAGGCTGTCCCCTCGGCCTGAGGAGGGATTGGGGACATAATGGACTTGCTCCCGGGGCCAGGGCTGGGGTCTTGTGTCAGGACAGGAAGTGGGATCAGAGGTCTCGTGAGGATACACTGGGGACCATGAAGCTGCTGGAGTGGAGATCGTCGCTGGAGAGGAAATCTCTTTCTGTTCCACCTAAATTGAAAGTGTGACCTTGTTTGTGTTGGGGGAGTCCTGGCTTTCCTAAATCTGAACTACTTAAGACTGGCAAATGATGTTGACATCCCTAGCCGCTTAAGTCCTGCCCCTGCCTGCCTCTGAGGTGGTGCTCATCCTCGGAAGTGACCTTAATGTATCCCTCGATCCCCAAGTTCATAGAAGAGGACCCTTGAACTCCTCTTGGACCCAAGGTGCCTGGTACAGGCTTTGAGTCTCCAGCACCCTTGGTCTTCCCACAGCTGCATTTACAGCCCCCCAGTATCCTCCTGCTGTTTGATGCTCAGTCTCTAAGGTTAACCCTATGGTGGCTGCAAGTGGGATGAGGTGGAGGAGGCCCTTAGGTGAGCCTGCGAGGTTGCATCCTTCTGCAATCTGTTTCACCCAGCACTCCCTTTACTTTCCCTGCTTGGTGTTTTGTGGGAGGCTGGAGGAACAGTACTGGGGAGAGGATCTGGGGACATCATCGTTCTCCATCCCCATCTTGAGCATTGACTCTCGACTTCTTTGTTGTTATTGTTGTTGGTGGTAGTAGTGGTGTTTTTTGTTGTTTTTTTTTTTTTTTCCTTCCCCGAGACAGGGTTTCTCTGTGTAGCTTTGCGCCTTTCCTGGATCTCACTCTGTAGACCAGGCTGGCCTCAAACTCACAAAGATCCGCCTGCCTCTGCCTCCCCAGTGCTGGAATGGTTTGGTGTTTTGGAACAGAATTCTCTATGTAGCTCTGGATGTCCTGGATGAACTTAGCTAGCCTTGAATTCACAGAAATCCACCCACCTTTGCCTTCCGATTAAAGGTGTTCACCACCATGCCCAGCTTGCTGTTGTTTTTATTTTTGGGGCGCGTGCACGTCAAAGGACAGCTTGCAGGAGGTGGTTGGTTCTCTCCCCACCTCAGTCCTGGGGATCAAACTCGGCTGTCAGGCTTGGCAGAAAACACCACTGGCCCTGTTTCTTGTCTTTGAACCAACCCAACCACTTCCTTCCAACATCCACCGGAGGAGACAAGAAATGTTCATGAGGGATAAGTGGGACGGGCAGTGTGCTAGGCGACTCTGCAGCCTGGGCACGTGAAGGTGAGACAGGAGAGGGAGTGTGAAACACTTGGGTTTGGCAGTCAGAAAACAGAATTGCAAGTTACAACTCTCTATCCTTGAATTATAAAGCTCCAAGAACCAAGTTGACACATGTCTCCCAAATCTTCTGGAACAGGACTTCTGTCCTTGGACGGGGCAGTGGGTGTGGAAAGGATGGGGAAATCTCTAGAGATGGAAGCTACTGTCTCCTCTACCGGCCAAGGGCAAAGGCAGAGAAAGCTCAGTAAAGACTGTCATCCCAGGAGCCCTCCCTCCAGCTGAACCCCCGCCCCCGCCTGCCCCCCCCCCCATTCCCCAGGCAGCACCAGGAACTTAGTGCTCCAGAGGGACAAAAGCTTCTTGTCAACAGGGCAGTCTGGGCAAAGGGGCAGGGCCTGGGCAGCAGAGGGTGTGGCAGACGGAGGAAAGGGAGAAGTCAGCTAGTGTGGGGGAGGGGAGGGAGAAATCCTGAAAGGAGGGGCTAGAGGAGGCAGTTCCTGGACCTTACTTAGTGGTAGCCTGGATGGCTGGGTTTAAGGCTAACCAGGACCCAGTTTCCCCTATACTCCGTTTTCTGATCATTTGTTTTTTCCTCTCCTGCCCCTTACAGTACTTCTCATTTTAAGTTAATGCCCTACTAATCTCAATACAAATGCCTGCGTCTCTCCCTCAGGCCAGAGGACCCTCTGCCACCAGAGTGAGATCCTAGAGACCATCATCCTAGTCAACCCCAGTGCAGACAGCATCAGCTCAGAGGTAAGGGCAGGGCTGATGCCTTGCTACAACCTATCCTTTGCAAGGTCACTACAGTCTCGTCTGCTCTCCCAGCTGACATAATCCTCAGCCCCACTCCGGGGCATCCCAGTGAGAAACATGTCCATATATTACTAAAGTGGGGACCGGGGTTTTCAGTGCCTTCCCCTGGGTCTCCCAAATCTGTGACCAATCTGTCCTCCCATTTCAGGTTCACCATCTTCTTAGTAATCCATCAGCTCACAAACTCCTAATCTTGAGTGGGCAAACTCTAGAGCCTGAGGGAGACCTTATCCTCCAGAGTGGCACCTACTCCTACCAAAACTTTGCCCGGGTCCTTCACAGTCCTGAGGTAAGCTTCCTACTGAGTGTCTGAGAAGGGGACAAGGGGCAGGATTTAAATTGTGGTGAGAAAGACAAGGATTATTATTTGACCATCAGGAACCCTGACAGGAATCCCTGTCAGGCATTTACCTCAGAAACAGGCAAGATTAGGGGGCTGAATCTGAGTCAGACAAAGACAACCCCGATGACCTGATCGGCTTCTGTCTCCGCTCCTCTAGATTGCCCAATTGCTCAGCAATAGAGACCCCGGGATCCAGGCTTTCCTCACCGTTTCCTGCTTAGGGGAGGGTGATTGGAGCCACCTGGGTCTGTCCAGTTCCCAAGAGACCTTGCACCTCCAGCTAAATCCTGAGCCTGTGTTACCCACCATGGATGGTGTGGCTGAGTTCTCCGAGTATGTCTCTGAGACGGTGGATGTGCCCTCCCCTTTTGACCTGCTTGAACCCCCAACCTCAGGAGGCTTCCTCAAGCTCTCCAAGCCTTGCTGTTACATCTTTCCTGGTGGCCGTGGGGACTCTGCCCTCTTTGCTGTCAATGGTTTTAACATCCTGGTGGATGGTGGTTCCGATCGCAAGTCCTGCTTCTGGAAGCTGGTGCGGCATCTGGACCGCATCGACTCCGTGCTGCTCACCCACATCGGGGCTGACAATCTGCCGGGCATCAACGGGCTCCTGCAGCGCAAAGTGGCAGAGCTGGAGGAGGAGCAGTCCCAGGGCTCCAGCAGCTACAGTGACTGGGTGAAGAACCTCATCTCGCCTGAGCTTGGAGTGGTGTTCTTCAATGTGCCCGATAAGCTTCGGCTGCCGGACGCCTCCCGGAAGGCCAAGCGCAGCATCGAGGAGGCCTGTCTCACTCTCCAGCACCTAAACCGCCTAGGCATCCAAGCCGAGCCTCTGTATCGTGTAGTCAGCAACACCATTGAGCCGCTGACCCTCTTCCACAAAATGGGTGTGGGTCGGCTGGACATGTACGTCCTCAACCCTGTCAAGGACAGTAAGGAGATGCAGTTCCTCATGCAGAAGTGGGCGGGTAATAGTAAAGCCAAGACAGGTATTGTGCTGGCCAATGGGAAGGAGGCAGAGATCTCTGTCCCCTACCTGACCTCCATCACCGCTCTGGTGGTCTGGCTCCCAGCCAACCCTACTGAGAAGATTGTGCGCGTGCTTTTCCCAGGAAATGCTCCCCAGAACAAGATCTTGGAGGGCTTGGAAAAGCTTCGGCACCTGGACTTCCTGCGCTACCCCGTGGCCACACAGAAGGACCTGGCTGCTGGGGCTGTGCCTGCCAACTTGAAACCCAGCAAAATCAAACATCGGGCCGACAGCAAGGAGAGCCTCAGAGCTGCTCCCAAGACGGCGGTGAGCAAGCTGGCCAAACGCGAGGAAGTGTTGGAAGAGGGAGCCAAGGAGGCCCGCTCAGAGCTGGCCAAGGAGTTAGCCAAGACAGAAAAGAAAGCAAAAGACGCGTCGGAGAAGCCCCCAGAAAAGCCCTCCAAGCCCGAGAGGGTGAGGACAGAGTCCAGCGAAGCATTGAAGGCCGAGAAGCGGAAGCTGATCAAAGACAAAGTGGGGAAGAAGCACCTGAGAGAAAAGATATCAAAGCTGGAGGAGAAAAAGGACAAGGAGAAGAAGGAGATCAAGAAGGAAAGGAAGGAACTCAAGAAGGAGGAAGGGAGGAAGGAAGAGAAAAAGGACGCCAAGAAGGACGAGAAGAGGAAAGACACCAAACCAGAAGTAAAGAAATTCTCCAAACCAGACCTGAAGCCTTTCACCCCCGAGGTCCGCAAGACCCTCTATAAAGCCAAGGCCCCTGGGAGAGTCAAGACGGACAAAGGCCGAGCTGCCCGCGGGGAGAAAGAGCTCTCTTCTGAGCCCCGGACACCTCCAGCCCAGAGGGGGCCCCCAGCACTCCCAACTGGCAGTGGGCACAGAGAGCTGGCCTTGTCCTCACCAGAGGACCTTACACAGGACTTTGAGGAGCTGAAGTGTGAGGAGAGAGCTTTGCTGGCTGAACAAAGGGAGGCAGGACTAGGTGAGAAACCACTTCCTGGAGATGCTACAGAGCAGGGACACCCAAGCCCAGCCATCCAGGAAAGACATCCCTCTGTCCCAGGGCGGGATCAAGAAG